AGAGCGAGGAACTCGAGTCGGAACTCGCTCGGAAAATATGAAAATTCGCTGGGAGACAAAGCACCTCTTCCTGGCTCTGCTCAGGAGCCCGCGGACGGGCGCGATAAGTTTCTCAAAATAGACCAGCCACCCAAAACGACAACGACTGCCGCGACTGAAAGAAAAGTTTCGACCTTATCTACGGAACTCTCGTTTGTTTCTTTCATGCTTCATCCTCCGAAGCCGAATCTTTTATCTCTCCGTCAATAATTGGTCCCTGTTCTTCGTGAATCAATTGATGAGAACGCACTGCAAATAATGTCGACCGGTCTCGAACACGAAGAAGCATCCCGTACGGATGAAGAGCCCGAGCAGTTGTTGCACCGGCGAGATACAGACACCGAAAGCATTGGGTTGGATGTCGCGGGTGGGCTCTGCCGCCGAGGAGAGGGGGGCATATAAACCAGCCATCGATTCCAGTCAGGAAGCGGACGAACGGTCGAGCGCGCGACTGAACAGCCCTCACGGATACAGAGGCGAGCACGGTCTCAACAAGGGGAAATATGTCCCGCAGTTAAGACCACGCTCGCTTCGATGGCCGTTTTAAACTGCGCCGCGCTGAATGCTTAAATAATGCAACGGCCGCTCCGGAGAGCAGCGGAGCCAGCTGCAGAGCAAGTTCTCGACGCGCAGTTCGAGGACGAAGACGACGGCTAAGGTGAGGGGAATCGTCGTCGTCGTCAACAGTGTTCCCTGCGTGTCGGAGAGACTGCCTTCCTACCGGTTAGCTCGAAAGCCCATGTTTGCCGCTTGAAGAAGAGCACGCATAAGAGCGACTGACTGGCTGACTAGCTAAGAGCAAATGCGTGTCTCACACCTGAGACCGAGAAGTGCGGAGCATACATACATACGCGTGCTTTAACATACTCACTCTCCGCTCGTTTTCGCGTTGACACCCACCCTTGCCGAGTGCACTCTTTTTATTTTAATTTGAATGAGGAGTAGTCTCGATCCTTCCTCGAAGGGAGCATTTATGCTTACGGTCGCCAGCACCAGGGAATAATTTTTGTCTCATCCGCATCAGGTTTAGCGATCTCGAACACGAGCCTTTCGCATATATCGACTGATGGCTCCTTTCCAGACGAATATTTTCGCACGATGCTTCTAGGCTCCAGCATGAACGTACGATCCTGGTGTGGAGGGCGAGCTCTTGCGGACGTCGGCGTCCCCGGTCTAGAGATTATTTCCCGCGTCAGATAAGGTTCATCAGGATACAGTCCTCATGAAGGTCACGCAATCGGAGGAGACAAGTTTTTTTCCCTCCGGGACAATGTGCGGCTCTTATGCAGCGGGCTCCTACTCCTCGCGGTGCGTCCTGTTCTCGTGAACTTTATTCCTCAATGCCGTCCGCATGATCGTGAGATCCTGCCCTGCTGCTCGATAGGCCATGTAGGTTTGAGCTCGCTCGCTGGCAGTCGACAGGGGTTGGAGGGGAGCAAACGGGAACGGGACCGTTTGTCCATCGGTCCGTCTGTCCGTTCATCCGTCCCACCGAGCGACCGGCCAACCAACCAGCCGAGCAAGCGAGCGAACGAGCGGGTGTATACTTTAAAACGCATTATATTTGTGTTTGCGGGTGAGAACATCCTACCACCGAATACACAAACTCAATCTCCCTCTCGCCCTCTTTCATACAAACACACGGAGTCGGACACTCTTGGACTCAAGGTGCTTTACCACGGAGCCAACCGTGAGCGATATCCCGAAGTGTTCCCTGCAGAAAACCGCAAGTGGGTAGGACAATTCGGGGCTGCAGTCGGTGTAATGACGACCTACCACCGCAGAAGCTAGGAGAATCGTGACGACGAGCTCTTTCCGCAGCAGATAGACGGAAAGCCTCGGTGTCTCGATTCGTGTTTTCTGATCCGTTAGAAAATTTACAATCCATGCGGTGGATAGCGCTGAAGGCTAAGGTCGGTGTTGCTTTGCATCACTCGCCGCGATGAAAAATTTGCCTGTGCGCGCTCTATTGCCTGAGTCGAGGGCAATAGCTCCAGGCTCGCTTACTTCATGAATGAAAAGAGTTACGGTCAACGATGCATGGCCTCATCATCAACTGGGAGCAGCGGACTGCGGTGGCCGCCCACGAGCGCGGCCGTCGGCTTTCACCTAGGAGATTGAAGAGCGCGGCGGTGAAGGGCAAGGGTGGACATTTCTGCCCCAACCCATGTGGCTCGCTGACCGTACGAAAACTTCACCAGTCGGTTGGTCCTTAACCAGGCAGCGGCGTTTCGCTTCGGGAAGTCCATATATCTCGTGGAGAGTCCGTGTTTGTCGTCTACACTCGAGGACCACATCGCTGAAGCGCCCTAAATTATAGGTGGCGATGGTGTGCCTCGCTCGCGTCTTGCAAAAAAGTCCCAAAATGCTAGTTTGATTCAACTGCGGAGTCGCCGCCCAAACTGCCCCGCAACTCAATTTGTACCTATGGGTGTCCGTTCAGTCCCATTCCTCTGAGTATAGCTGTAAATATTGTAATAATGGCTGTATCTCGTTCGTTGGCGATCCCGCCAGCCCGAGAGTGAGCGAGCACCGAAAGCTAGGCGGTGGACGGCGGTGCGACAACAAAGTGCCAAAAGAGAAGAAACCCGCCGCGATGAAGTCAACGATTGTTATCCTTCTCTGGAGGTGATTCTTCGGGGGCTCCGGGGTTTTTGGGGCCTTTTGGAGGGATTGAAAGAGCACGAAAGAGAGTCGGTGGGGAACGATCCCTGAAGCAGGGGGGAGAAGAGCGAAGAAAGTCTACTCGCTTTCTTTGGTTCATTCGGTTCGTTCTCTGTTGTTCGTCGTTGACAAAGACGAGGAAGTCACTGCAACGACATACGAGTTCAGCTTTTTGGATCGTCTCATGGACTTCTCCCTGATCTTTCCAGCTTCATATGTAATCTTTCCAGAATGGCGCTGAGCGGTGGGATTCCACGGATTTTCGGAGCTGAGTCTTCATCCTTCCATTCTTCATGGATCGGTGGCTGTCTGCCACTCGCCAACTTCATCTGCCGATTGAGCGTATATTCGGCATTGAGCCGACTCCATGACGAGGATGAAATCGGGGGCCATTCAAGAGAGCCGATGCCCCATTCGGAATCCGATCGACAGCAAGGATAAGTAATGGCGCGGGCTCGGAGTCAGCTTGATTTCAGCCGCGTATCGACGTTCCTCCCCACAAGAGCGAGGACCTTGATTCGAGCCGAAGCTCTCACACACACGCTCACTTTTCGTTGTTTTTTTCTTACTCCTGAATATGCAAAGCAGGTACAAGCGCCTGCGTCATGAAGAAGCAGGAGACTACGATGCGGAAGGATGGGGACGAACTGCGTGCAAAACTTTTGAGCAGCAGGCAGCTCGAGCCGCACTTTGCAAAGCAACACTCCTCCATTTTTCCGCGAATCCACAATTTGTGTTATTTTCTTACTGGTTGCCGGAGATGATCGTGGTCCGACATGGGAGTCACTTCCTCCCTAAACGATCACTGGACCGTCGGGTGGCTTCTCGATATCGCTTCCGAATAGACTCTCCCGGTTTCGCTCGTCGCATTACCTCGTGAATTCCGCAGAGTTTCCAGAGATTGAAGGTAAGATAGATCGATTTTCCGCTGCCGTGTTCCCTGCTGTGCTCATGACTCATGATGCCCTGTTTGTATGTTATGAGACTTATGAGTATTGATTCGTCACCATGCATTGATTTATTTTTGTGGGAATCAGCAATATAAATGAATATATATGAATAATAGACACTATCACTCGCAATGAGTGAGGACTTGAGGACGGGAGTCATGGCGTTCTTTGGTTCCGTGGGAGACATGACACGTCTTCTCCTTTTAGAATCAGAACTCACCTGGGAGCTAATTTCAATATACTCAAGCAGAGTTATTGTCGATCGACGTCCGGGAAACATCTGATAGTGGACGAAACCTATGGCCCGACTGCTAGTGTGAGGAAGTGCGGTCCCCGAGAAGCCCTCGTGTCGGTTCCGACCAGGTATCTCCGAGGCAGGGAATGCAGAATCTGAGTTCCGAACTACTGTACCATGGAACATATTCTAAAGCTCTGTCTCGGTCGGGTTGCTTAGAGGCAAGGGTTTCCCGACCTCTCTCGCTCTGCGGAACCCTTGTTCAAGCTTCTTGCTGCATATCCTCATATCTGTGCCTCCAATACCGCGAAAGCGTGGACAGCCATCGCATCAAGTATAGTGTGTGCCCTCGGACACAAAGATTCGATCTGATTAGGTGGAAAATGGAGAGTCAGGATGGCTCAAGGAGAAGCTCGTGTAGGCCTAGGTTTCTGTGGAGCCTCGGTCGGGAACTACATATTAGCTTAGTTAGAGTCTGAGAGTCATCGACCCGACAGAGCTAACTGAGCTTCTTATCATGGAGTCTCGGAGATCACAATCATGGATTGAGCAATCGAGGCCATCGGCAGACGGGACCCTTGTTCTTAATCGTCGTCATCTGTCTGCGGAGCGAGTCGGTTATAGGGGCTAGAGAGAAGAAGTCTTAGGCATGTCCGGGAGGTCCAATGTCGTCTCAACTTTCCCAGATTCTGCCTTCCGTCGTGATTCGTGATCCTTGGATTCTGTCTCCGGAATCCCAATCATTTGGACAGTCAGTTGTGGTTCGCCCAAAAATCGGAGAATCGGCGACCGTAGAGTCGGACGAAGTCCTCCATAGTCCTGTGATATCCTCAGTCGAGACGTGAAAATCCTCAAGATGTCCTAGAGCTTCGCCGATCAAGGCACCGTCGATGATGCTGGGAGCGCTCTCTGGACCAACCTCTGTATTTTTTTTCGTGGCGCCTCATCGGCTCCTTAGAAAATCTATGGCAGCATCCCTAGGATGCATACATGGGAGGAGTTTCATACGTCTCGCCGAAGTGACTCGAGTCTTCGACAGCCGGTTTGAATCGCCCGCCAAAAAAACAGAGATCGTATTTACCGCCGTTGGAATCTACCACGGGAGGCTTTTCATCCTGCTGTTGTTGGTATGAGTGAGCGGAATTCCAGATGAACAAATGAGAACTCTGTTACTACAGTCCGTGTCTGAGTAGATCAGGTATCCCGCGGAACGGACTTTCTTCTCCTCCAGGAGCAGGAAAAACTTCAAAAATGGTGAGAGCCGGAGGCGGCAAGAAAAGGCTGTCTGACTTCGTGGTAGATCGAACACAGTCGAAATGAGACGAACTCAAACTTTTACCCCTTACAGTTCAATCTAGATCATTTCCAAGACATCCATCGGAAGTTCACTGCAGAATACAGAGCTTTCTCTGTGTCGATGCTGTGTGGGAATGAGCGGCAAAATCTCGAGCAAGGAAATAAAGGTTTGCGATATACCCCTCTTCCTAAGCAGCTGTACATTCCGAAATGAATCACTTTCCGGATCCCGTGGGCTCTCGCGTAACCGACGTATACTCGATTCACAGTGATACTGCCGCCCTCCACCTTGGACATGCTGTCGCGGTTGAATATCACGTACCCTATACTTTTCAAGGTAAGCTCTGATGCCTTCATCTGATTTCAGAGGGAATGTCCATTCTAAGATCGGAACCCTGTGCCGTAACCATGGATGATCGCCGCCCCGCAAACTCAAGGATTTGATCCAGTAGGGGGTATATTGCGAAATCACTTTATCTCGCGGTCATTTTGCAGGTTGAGAATCGGCGGTTGAAGCGAGACACGCACTGTGGTGTTCTCGAGTTCTCTGCAGACGAGGGGAAATGCTACCTGCCTTACTGGATGATGAAATACCTTTGTCTCGACGAGGGAGATCATCTCTACGTTAGTATCCTCATCCCCACATCTTCACTCAGAGAAAGTTGTGTCTTTACCGAGCGCGACGTTTGATGACGTTGGTTGCATCATCTCTTCTAGGTGGAGAACACCCAGCTCCCGGTGGGGAACTTCGCCAAGTTCCAAGCTCAATCAGTAGACTTTCTCGATATAACCAATCCGAAAGCCGTCCTCGAGAACTCGTTGCGGCATTTCGCATGCCTAACCGCCAACGACACCATAGTGATTAAATACAACGACAAGTAAGCGCTCTCACACTACATCTGAAAGTCCTATCCACCAAGGAATTTTGATCAATCCATTCACTCTTTCGGATCCCCTCTAGGCAGTACGAGTTGTGTGTACTCGAGACTCGGCCCGGGCCAGCCATCGATATCCACGAATGTGATCTCAATGTCGAATTCGCGGCTCCTGTAGGATATCAGGAACCTGAGGTATATATTCCAAGATTTATATCATACTACGCGATGTGGCGTCCGATGAAATCAAGCATCGAATAGAACCCCGCGAGATTCCGTTCCGTCAACATCGCGGGCTCTGTATCAACTCGATCTTTCTTCCAGACCAAGAAGGTTTCGCAAGAAGAAATCGATTTCAAGAAGCCAGAGGTGATAGTGGACACCAAGAAAGCTTTCCAGGCGTTCGCCGGATCTGGGAATCGGATCGATGGTAAGGCGAAGAACTTGGACGCGAGCGTCGCACAAGGCAATCTTCAAGCCGCTGAGATCGAAAGGGGCGTTCCGGACGACCGGTGAGCACAGTGAAGCTCGGCAGTATTTCCTATGACATTAGTAGCGATACATTATCATAATTATTCATAAATCATAACTGATGAGGCTCATATAGGAGAACATCGAATGAAACAGCTCAAATCCTTTTCCAGATGGAAACTCGGACAAATAAATTTTATTCGAGTGCAGTTTACGAAGAAGGGTGAGAATATGGAAGTAGAAGATACCTTCTCGGCATTCGGTGGTGAGGGCAATCAACTGAAGCCGCGGAAGCCATCTTGAGATACGTCTCTTGTGTAAATAAAAAGCATTGTTTCTTGAATGGGTTGTCCCCATCGGATGATATGAGTCCCCAGAAAATACGGTATCAAAGAAGTTTTAGAGGAGCCCTGGATCAATTCCCGGCTATATGCATTCTTGGCAAGGCACGGTGTAGACTGTTCCGGGGAGTGGGTTCAATGACGATCTCCAAGATACGCCGTCGGTGGCCGATACCAGCATGTTCGGCGTCGCTGCCATAACCGTACGTGGAACCCACCGGCAATTAGTCGGAAACATGACCATCAGTCCATGGAAGCCCATAATCGATAATACTCCGGAACTCATACCGAGATCGGAGGGGTGTATCGTGAGATCGTGAGCCGAATAATTCCTACATCGCTATCCAGAAATTGAGAAAGCTAATCAGTGGAAATTACTGATGACTGGATATGCGCAGAACCGGAAACCTCTTCAAGGGGTTGGAATGACCGGCATATGTTTCCATGCTCAAATATATGTTCCGCATGGAACACCCACCGCCTTTGTGACTCGTCAATCAATGATCAGTGAGATCCGCTATTCTGGAATCGCGGATTCGAATTTGCCGCGCTTGGTATCCCTATGGTTCACATGCTGGCGGCCCATAGTGAGGGCGCTGGCTTCGCGGTCGTGTTGTCAGTTCGCGGCGTGACGTGGCTGGGATCGACCGGCAACAATCAGCCGCGTAAGACGTGAAGACAAGTCGTCGCTGTTCTATTCAGCCAGATTCACGCGAAGCCTCGACGGAGATCACGGAACAGAAATGCCAGCACCAGCCTCATCAACGAATGTAGGAGCCGGCGGCTCGAGTCCCCGAGCCGGTCCGTCGTCGACACTCCGGCAGAGAAAAACTACGAGCACCAGTTCTGCTGCGGGTGAGTACAGATCGCAGTCATGAGAATCGTTCCTCGACGAGACGATATCTCCACGGCTCCACGATGACTTTGGATCGAAGCGCTCGTCTTTCACCGAGCGAACATAACAAATAAATAGCAAAAATAAGGCGATGAACTGAACTTACGTCAAGTTTCCATCGGAGTCCGGAGCCCCATCACCCAGATGATTCGATTTCCCGACTTCACTGGGATGAGAATGATCCGATCGATTTCTCCCGGCTACCCTGGACACGTCTCACGTCTGATGATACCTCGCGTGATCTAGATCCCGCGACTTTTGCGGTATAGCGACCGGACCCGTTTCGAGGTCCCAAATGAAGATGCATTTCCAGGATAGGTTTTCTACGTCGGGAGTCCTCGTTACACCCGGACCATGATCTTGGAATTATACTCCCTCTCTAATAATTATTTCACTACGCGTCAAGATGTTAAATCATTGCTTTTTCTGCTTCCAGCTCGTCCGTCTCGGCCTCCGGCGAACTCGGGAGGCATGTGGAAGTTTTACACCGATGATTCTCCGGGATTCAAAGTCGGACCGGTACCCGTTCTAGTGATGAGCGTTCTATTCATCTTCTCTGTATTCGTGCTCCACATGTATGGCAAGCTGACTCGGGGATAAATTCGAGATATTTAATTTTATAATATTTGTTGTGTACTTATTAGGATTATTACATGAATCTTGAATAAGTACCTATGTCTGAATGAGAACTCCTGGAGAGCTAAAAGTCATGTGCGATTTGTCTTTATGTAAAACTATGAGAATGAAGAATAAGAGGGACTCCTTGCATTCCGGTGTCATTCATTCCATCTACATCGTGGGAAGATCTCTGAAAAAATCGCGCTCGTCCTTCCTGACGGAACAGTGATCCGACAGAGACGATTGGATACGGAAAAATATACGAAACGCAAACACATATACCGTGATCACGATTCCAGATTTCATCGCTTCTCCCACGGAGGTGGGAACGTCGAGTAGCAACTGTTTGAGCAGTGCTCTCGTTCTCGCATTCCTCTATAGGCACGCGGAATGCTCGCCTCTAATAAGCCATGATGTCTGGCCGGTCGCCTTGTGTCACTCCAGTGCTCAGTATACTGTTTCTCCCCTTGATCAATATCGAAAGCCAGGGCCCACAAAACCGCCTTGGTCCTGATGGAGCGTCCCCGTTCGGGAACTCATGGGGAGCCTCTTTTGCATGTATCAGATTCTCATACTTTCTGCGCTTATGATCACTCCGATCGGCTAGTGAAGCTGGATGTCGATCACGGGAAGGCAAGATCACTCCTGTGCCCGCTACATCGGCGAATCCGGATTTCTTTCCGTCGCGAGAGCCCGTCCTGGACTGTGCTCGGGATCTCTTGCAATATGATTCCGAAAGTGATAGTCGATGGCTTCGCTGGACATGAAATATTATTACTCATCAACTTCTTCGGGAGGGCTTATTCACTTCTTTGATCAATAAGCCCCTCGGTATAAAGAGGAATTCTGACGCGGTACGGCTGGGCGATCTTCTCGCACCTTAAATCAAATACATTTTCCATTGGTTCAGCGCATAGCTTATTCCCACCCTCCTCAAGGGAGCCTCGAGACCGGGACCTGGGACCCCCAACGGGTCCCAAGACCCTCCCCCGATGAACCTTGCTTCCTATTTTGCATCATGAAATCGCCAGGCTCTACTCTCCAACAGTAGACGAGGCCTCTCTCCGATGGATTGATTCAGATGTACCAATCGCCAGTAGGAAGATCTCATCTCTCTTCTAGCCTGATGATTGCGTTGGGAAAGCCACCAGAATCAGATCGGTCTTGGACTCAAGATCTCTGGTCCAAGACTTCCATCACCATTCAGAGATGGAATTATGGGATTTTAAACACGAGATTATTTGCGGACCTTTCGGAATCCTCGTTAACTTCTTCCTCCTCCTTGCCTCGTTCTCGAAGAGATGGAATTAGCACGGGATATCCAGCACCGGTGCATCGCAAGCTGATCTCCAGGATCACTCCTGGTAATCAGGGGAGTCAAAAACGTGTCGAACGTCCATAGGTCGAGGCAGAAGTCAGTCCTCGCTCGGATGGAACTCATTCTCAGAGCCGGATAAGGTAGTCGAAGATACTCTCGCCAACATCACAGGTGTGAATGAACTCCGAAAGCACCAGCGAGCGGGAAATCCGAGTAGGCAGCTAAAATTGTTTTTTAGGAGTCTCTGAGCGGTGTGTGAGATAATGTGGAGAGAAAACGAGGTGGAACGAATGCGCCGATGAAGGCTTCACGGAAGCCGAAATGTCTCAACCAGCTCGAGCCAAGGGTCCGTGATTGCGAACCCGTCCATGAACGGCACAACGAACCGAGAGTCGTCACCAAGATCACGACGAGCAGGACCTTCGAGACACTAGAATCCATCTCCAGAATCGCTTCCGCTGCACGATCGGGAGGGAGCTCAGCACGACGGGTATGCGGAAAAACTCCAGAGGGGAACAGGATTCTGGAAAGCTCAGAAAGTTTACCCAAGTTCGACGATTTGGAGAGCATTGCCGCATATCTGAAGAATAGTGCACGCCTCCACGGATGTGCTGGAGTTCCGAGTCAGAGTGGAACCCCGGGAACTCCATGTGGAACTCCCATCTTTGAAACAGGTGAATTTTCACGGAGGCTCTGAGTTCTCCCGCCGTGGATGTGAATCAGGAGTATTTTCTGCGGCCGGAGCTTGCTGCGTGGTCTGCGACTCGGGGTTTTTCACCAGTCCAACGATGATTTCAGTCAAACACCAGAGGCATGCGCTGACAAAGAAAGCCCCGGAGATTCTTGGTGACGCTCCGATGAAGAATCTGAGGGAAGCCGCCCCGATCGAGGATGAGAGGGAAGCCGCTACGACGTTCAATGGGACTCGGAAGAGCCCCAGAGCACCTGTTGTTCTTGCGCGCGGGGTTCTTCGGAGCCCCGATGCTGCTGTATCAGAGAGAGCTCGGAGCGCCAATCCTACAGGTTACAGCGCGAAGACTGTAAAGAAGATCCTCCATTCGAAGAAAACATCGGCTGCTCTTTCGTCAATGAAGAAAAGCTTCGATGGACTTCCTTTCTCAGCAAAGAAGGCTGCGTCGCAAAGGATTCCTGCGATCGCAAAGTTCGCTCGGCCCGATTCCTCAGGGAAAAAGTCAATGGGTGAGGTTTGACCGGAATTCGAGTCAGTAGAGATAGACCCAGTCTTCCTCTCAAATAACGAATGACCAGAGAGAGCAACAATATTCTTTTGCCGATCCGAGAAGCGAGCTTCATATGATGTTCCGGAGCTTCGGCTCCTATCATGGCGATTCACCCCAATCCGTCTTGCCTTGCGATCGAAATCTATTCCCTTCGCAGACCTCGATGGAAGGGCGTCAGCGTCAGCTTCGCCATCGTCTCCGGAGTCTCGGGAACAACAACTCCGGGAACCTCCTGAATACAGTAGGATTCAGAATGAGAGTTCGTCATGGAGTTCGACGAGTTTTTTTTACAGCAGGAGAGAAATTGTGCTTTGTTTTTCCAGGAGTGTGTACCTGCAATCTCCTCGGTGATCGCGGTTCCAAGGATTATCCAATAACTGAAAGAGCGGATGGAATGAAGATGCTATCAATTGGATCCCGGAACCCGCGACGAGGGAACACGGGGAAGGCGACGCTCAAGGGGAAGCTGCCGACCGTAAGAACAAGACGAGACGTGGGCAACGATCTTCCGCAGAGCCAGTGAAGGTGGACAAGCTGTGCGATCTTCTGAGCGTCGTGACTTGTCGCGAAAAGTCTGTCTGCTGGATCAGAAGAGGAAAGCCGAGATGTCGGGTGATGTTTAATGAAGCTTGGGAGTGTCAACCGTGGAAGCTTCTCCCAGGTTGAAGCCGGGTACGAATTCCGCACAATCACTGTTATCTGCTTTGCTATCTGCTTCTAAAAGACTTTTCATTGATTTCTGAAGCCTCTGTCAATTTCGCAACCGCCAAGTTCGGGGGAGTGGGTGGGATCGCCGTGCCAAGCTCCATTGGTCAGATGAAACTCCCGCGACTGTCAAGCTGTAGGTTTAAGTTGACGTCGAAGCCAAATCCGCCTCATGTAGAGTCTGGCGGAACTGATGATTGTCACCGACTCTGAGTTGAGTTATCCGATGACGCCTTGAGGGCTCGACGGGACCCAAGATGGAGAAGAGGAATCTATTCTCAATCATTACGGTGATTTCCCTGAGTGAAGTTACCTGTTCACCTGGAGCTTGAACTCTCGAATGATCCACTCATGGATGTCCTCACTGTTCGACAGCCCGTGCCCAGACGTCATTCGCCGCGCTGTCGGTCGGTGTCGGTGATCAGGGTGTCCGCAATAGAGAGAGAGAATATCGGTCCATCGTCTTCTTGCGGAGATCATCGTTTCGCATGTTCAGGCTGGTGTCTTCCTCCATCATGACCCCGACAGCTTCGGAGGCATTATATGTCTACAAGACTATTGAATCGACGTTGATCGACGATGATATTTGTCAACATCGAGAAGCGAATGCCGAGCGTCTTGAAACATGATCTAGAGCTTGGAAGTTCAGGCAAGATGCCTATAATGCCTGAAATGCATGAAACGCCTGAAATGCCTCTTTTCTGCCTAAAATGCCTGTTTCCTGTCTAAAACGCCCCAATCTCGGCCTGAGAAGCCTACTTTACGTCTTGGATGCTCAGAAGCCCTCTTATCCTGCCTGGAGATCGCCGGGGAGCCCACGTTTGTTAGAATTTCTTTCAGCGTGAGGAAGCCACTGCTTTCTCGTATCGGACTCTCCGTCAGAATTTTTCCGAAATTCTCTTCCCATCTATTCGAGAATGATTCCAACTCACGATCGAGATTCAAATTCAGATTAGGAACATCAAAGACGACCAGAACATGAGGAGCTCAAGTAGAATCGAAAATATGAAGTGATCGCGATTGCACATCGACATCCTCTGATAGTTCCGAGCCTTCGGAATTCATCGTCATTCGGCTCCCACTCTCCACTGCACGAGCTTTTCGCGATTCGGGGGCATAAGAACTCCAAGGTACTCCGAGGTGAATCACTGTGGCAGGTTAGAGGCTAGAGATGCCAAGTCAAGCTGCTGACCCGGCCGAGGAGGTCCAGCGATACGCGAGCGAGTTGGGTTCGGGATTTCTTACTGCCGACGGAGACGTTCTGTTTTGTGAACTGTGCAAAACGACTGTGAATGCAGACAGGCGATATTACGTGGTACAGCATGTCCAAAACGTGGGACACGTGAGACGATATCAGCTTGCGGAAAATTCACTCGAGGAAGAAGGTCCCGCGTCGGACTTATCGCCGAGAGAAAATTCGTTCAGCATGGATCTGTGCAGAATTATGGTGGAATCGAATATCCCTCTGTACAAAGTTCAGCAGCAGTCATTTCGGACCTTCATGCAGAAGCCAAGCCGATATCCCGAACTTCACGACTCTTCGAAAGACCTATCTCAAGAAACTCTACGAGGAAACCATTCACAGGATCAGATGTTCCATCGGAGGCGATCGAATCTGGATATCTATCGATGAGACAACTTAAGGGACAATTGGTTGTCAATACAATCATCAGTGTTCTCAATCCCGATACGCCATCCGTCCAGTTCCTACTCAACTCCGATATTGTCGAAAAAACATGTAACATGACACAGCTCCGAACCGAGTAGAGTTTCCATGTTCGGACGAAGATTCAAGCTTCGCGAAGGACCGAGGGCTCGTTCTCTCGAGCTCTAATGAGCTCTCTCGTTCGCATTACCATATTCCCGCCCCCCGCCAACTTCCCGAAATCGTGGATCCCTTAGTATGGAGAAAGGACCCCCGACATTCCACGACGCAGCCGTCTCCCGTCGGCCGATGACCATGTTTTCCACTTGTCAAGGAAGGAAAAGCCCAGTCCTGAAGATTTCATTGCATTGAGCTCGGCGAGCTCTCGGTGCGTATGTTTCCCCCGCGACGTTCGAGAGGAAGGGAATCGTAGAACACTCCGACGAAGCTCCTGCTAGACCTGGCGGGCTTAATCCCGGTCTCCTGGGATTCGGTTAGACGGGATCCCACCTCGATAATGTTAAGGCTGGCGAGCATCGAAGTCAGGAGGAGCTAACCTCCCTTTAAAGATATTCCAAGGGGGAAGTGCTTCTGCGTAGTATCCGCGATATACTATGTATATTGAATTCGAGCTCGAGACTACGAAGAAGCACAGCTCTTTGGATAGCTGGTAAAAATAATTCCCTACCGCCCGGATTACAGCTTTCGCTTGGTATACGGTCCATCGGGAGGCTTCAACGGAGTCTTGGGAGTCATCTTGATGCTTACCGTATTTATTCTAATAGAATGGCATGCTCCAATTACCGGCATGCTCCAATAGTACGGCATGCTCTGATGGAACGGCAGGGGAAAATAACTTGAGGGAAGGTGGTATAAATTGTTAGATTCCGTGAAGATATCAAAGGTATACAACACGATTCATCGTAAGTGAAGGCAGAGATCGTTTGAATACTCATTTTTGGAAAAAACACGGGTAGGCTCCATCAGCTCTTATAGGGACCGCCCATCCGATGGGGGATCGAAAAATAGAGCGGCATGCTCGAATAGAACGGCATGCTCCAATAGGAGGGCATGCTCCAATAGACCGATGGCTGATGAGGGGATCGAAAAATAGAACGGCATGCCACTCTATTAGAATAAATACGGTATGCTCGATGCCCTTCCCAGAAAGTAACATGCCGAAGCAAAGGCGCGACCAGCGCGTGAGAGTCTCGGACCTGTTGCACGCGTCCCGCCGATTCTTACAATCTGCAATTGTTCAAATCTTGAAGAGTACATCGGAACTCTGAGGTTTGCTTCGACTTCGAAGGGACAGGACTTTCTCTTATCTGGAAGCTGTCTCGCGACTCTACTTGCGTAGAAATGGACGTCCACCCCTCGATGCCTCAGATGCGCGATTTGCTCAGACGTTTGATGTCAAGGCGTTCGTACAATGAAGGGCGCATTGTTCGGAGCGCAACAGAGCTCTGGTGTATGTTTTCGGGTGGACGGGTTGCAAGAGCAGTGTATCGGCCACGGGGTCGGCTGCGCGTCAGCCTTGCCTTCGCCTCAGAATTTTGCTCGCACCGCCGAGGTACAACCAAGGATCCGACTCTGACACCTTGAGGAAAAGGTCCGATGGATGAAGAGTAGTCAACGAGAAGGGCTGCTGAGGCGCCGTATTTTCGAGAGACTGGGGAAGAGAGTCGCAACGAATTTGATTATGATTCCCGTGGGGTCCTCATGCGACCACCTGAGAGCCTAGAGACGAGGGCTCCGGGGAGCCACGAGATCTTTCTTATGGGACCGTTCGCAGTTGAAGACTTTAACTTGTTCTCGCGACCACGAAATCGCTTTATCATGGACCGAGGCTTTCCTCATGATTACCGGCGACATTCGCTACGGTGAGGAATTTCGTGCGCCGAGAAGCTTCCGTTTGTGGACAGAATATCCGATCAACGATATTGCGTGACTCGCGGAGCGTCAATACTCTACTTATTAGAGTTGTTTCGTTGAGATTCGACTGATTACAGCATGGACTAGATAACGAGCTCAAAGGTGGGAACGAAGAAGATGTGGCAGTGACCCACTTTGATAGGGAATCTCTTCCATGTTCTGCCTGAGCCCGTCATTCCCAAGTCGTAAACCTGTAAGAACGCTCGGCATAAGAACAGAGAGACTCTCCTGTCTTGGAGCTTGCATTGATCGCCGAGCATCCTCCATTCCCTGGAGCATTTTGCTCCCTCCCCTCTGCAGAATATGATATGGATTCGAAGTTAAACTTGTCACAAAACTTCTCATCTTGCCCAGGGATCCCGTGGTCTGAGTTCGGAATCTCGGGCCGTTGCCCGTGTTCGCTCATCAATTGAGTCAAGTGAATCGCATGTGAGAACATTCCTTGACACAATGCCCTCATCCGAGGGACACGATCTGCAATGAAATCTGTTGTAAAGCTCATAGGTCCGTCTGAGGAAGTGATCACTCGAAGGCCTCGAAGCGGAAGGATTCGTTGGCGCGATTACAAGATTCCTGCCGAGCCAGGATTGACCGTCAAATTGCTTCCTAAAAAGAAGTCGCCTCTTCTCTCTTAGCGCGCCTCTCTCTCTTCAAGACAACCCTTCTCGAAACTCCCGCTCACACAGTGACTAGTCTGTGCTATCGTTGACATCGGAACTCCGCGCGCCCGCAGAATCGGTGAGAATTCCATCCCAGACATGTTCCCAATCAAATCATCGGCGGCTTTCTCTGGAGGCGTGAAACTTAGAAAAGAGTTGGAGACTCCATGCTTCACACACCCATGCAGCGACAGTTTCCCCCTGTCAGTCACAAACAGCTGATCGTGTCTCGTTCTTTGGGAAGCTGCGGATGGGGGTCATCTCGAGGAAAATAGAGAGGATCAGCTGATCTCTCGATTCCGCGAGTCTGGTGAGAGTGGAGTGCTCCGAAACCAGAGGAGTTCCAGAACTTCCAGAGCTTCTGCGGATTCCGCGTGTATACAATAGCGCTCCCGATCACGAAAAACACCTGTAACAACGACTAGCGCGGGCAGTGCTTCCTAGCATGGATCGAAGGCTGCTTTCTTGGCTCGGAAAGTCGTATCATTTGGCTCATGAACAGAAAATTCTGGCTTAGTCTGGGCTGACGGTCATTCCTTCCGGTGGTCGGATCGCTTACTCTCTTCGCTTAATATTGCCGTATGGATTCGTTCGACAGAATTCTTCGAGCTCTTTTCCGAGTCAAATAGTAAAACGATGAGGCATCCACTCTCCCTTGATTCAGCCTGGGCTCGTCGCCAACAGCTTTCCTTTCGTTGGCTGTAATCTCGGAAGTGACTGAGAGATCGCATGATTCAGCAAACGGATCGGGGAGCCAAATGTGTCATCGGAGACGCAAGGCGATCGATTCGCACCATCCAATTAATGACTCTCCGATCATAGGTGTCCAGCGTATCTCCATCGTTTGTTTTGAGGAAAAGCTGTGGTGAAGGATAAAGGCGATCATCTTGATTTCACAGCAGACTCGCAACCTCCCGCTAAGAACACGACGATGGATGATCAGAAATTCTATGTCGAAGTCGATGGAACGAAGATTCCCGCCGGATTCAGCCCACAAAACTTCAAGTCCGGAGTTCAATACAAACCCCTGGATAGCGATATTTTTATTTGCACTTTCCCGAAATGCGGCACGAATTGGGCCAAGCGCATCGTGCAGTTGCTGATCGATCGCGAAAGTCGAACTGGAGAGGTTGCTGACTACGGTCTCAGTAAATGTTTCCTCGAGATGGCCGGTGAGTGACGCCTGACCAATCCTAAGCACTTGAAGCCGAGATTCAACCTCGAAGACTTGGTCATCCGCCGATGGAATCGCTGCGTCAAAAATCTAATCGTTAGTCTCATCCAGGGGCTGAGGTGATCTCTTCGCAACCGGAGCCGCGCATCGTAACATCGCATATGTACTACGACATCATTCCTAAGAATACGAAAGCGAAGTATATATACATTCTGAGGAATCCAAAAGACTGTTGTGTCTCGTACTTCCATCATACGCAACGCACCAAGGTTCGGAAAGTCCAAGATTCGCTCAACCTCTCATAAATCTAGACATGCTATAATCACTATGAAGCTCTCAAATGCCCATATAAATGTTCCAGGTGTACAATTTCGCGGATGGCTCATTCAGTGACTATTTGAAGAGTTTTTTGAATGGAGAAACGAGCTTCGGCTGCTACTTCGAGCATTTTCGACAGTGGTACTCCCAGAGAGACAAGTAATGAGCTCTATGTGAATTCGCATGGGAATCCGAAGGCATTCATCGGGAGTCTTCATCGGAGAGACACTAATGCAATACTATTGCATCTGCCGTCTGAATAATTCGGATTCCATAACCCGACAGGTCGAACGTGCTCTTCTTGACCTACGAGGACATGAAGAGAGATCCAATTAAATCAATCCAGAAGATCATTTCTTTCCTGGAGCTCTCGTGTTCCCAATTGAGTGATCCGAACTCGGCGAAATTCCAGCGAGTCTTAGTGGAGAGTGGAATCGATGCCATGAAGGATTATATCCAAGAAAACTACAAAACAGCACTCGGTGGAAATGCAGAAGCCGAATGGTTAGTCGAAGATCCTCACAATCATCCGGATACGAGGTCACGGTTTTGGTTTCGAATAACGTATTTTTCTCTATTGAAGGAAGCCCCGATCTGACTATCCATGTGACCGAGCTCCACCGCCACCCGATTGCTTCGTCAGGAAGGGCATTGTCGGAGATTGGAAGAATCAGTTCAGTGCGGATGATTCCAAGGCAATTGAGGAGAAGATGTTGGAAGCCTGCAAAGACATCGGTGCCGATATCCAGGACATCTGGAGGGATGAAGATTGGAGGGAAAATTGACAGAATCGATCAAGGACGGCAGATTTCACTCCCCGAAGAATACATAATATTCTATATTCCGCAGAAGGAAACTCGAGCCGCATTCACTCTGAGAGAGAAGAGAAGTCGGATTCGAGCGTTGTATTTGTCCGATGCGAATTAGTGGCGGACTTCAGAATCCGTTTCCTCGCTTCCCCCGAGCCGTTTGGAGGAATGATGATCATCAACTTCTCTGAAGCTGCAGGAGATCGATTATTTGGCTTAGATTCCACAGGAAAAGCTGAGCGACTGATGAGCTTGCGATAATCCGTTGCAAGAAAGCCATCGACCGAACCGGATCTCAGTAGAGGGAGATCTTGAGAATCGTCTGGGCACAAAAAGAGTCCCAATCGTAGGCGTTAAGCTAGAGTCTCCAATCCCTCCCCGGTTTTGAGCGCTCCATCGGAGATTTGCACAAATGTGAACACATCATTTTCTCTCCATCGTTCAGGAGTCAATAGGCTAAACGTTTTTCGCGGCTCAAGGCAATATGACGCGGCCTGACAGGGCGATCCATCGGCAACCGTCTAACGCTGAATGAGACTGATGTGCCCTCTCGAATGAACCCTTTCGCTTAGAGCACAACAGTCAAAGAGAGCAGCCCCTTTGCGTGACCCGAATTCTTCGAGAGGAAGGAAGCATTCGAGAGGAAAGCGGGCCGCTTTTCCTGTTTCTCCGAATGGAAGTCGCCTTTCTGGAAAGTGGACAGATCGCAAAGCTCACCGTACGTTTCGAAGCTTCCCCCTATAGGGTTGCGGTAGCTCGATTCGCGAAAAGAAAGGAAATTCGCGGAAGTTTTCGAAACCCTCTGTTGAGTCATGTCTCGATCAGCATCTGACGCAAACCTTCTCTGATGCGAGCAAATTGGCGGATCCTCTGAGATCGGGGCAGTTTTTCTCGTGAGGAATGATACCCAGTGATCAACGGGAAGAATGTGAATCGAAAAGGCTACCGGTTGGAGCCAGGTCCGAGATTCCTCACAGTCTCTGCGGGGGCTGCAGTTGGGCAGAAGATCGTCTGCAATCTTTTCGTTGAGCTCATCGATACTTCCCTCGGATTTCAATCGCTTGTGAATGGCCAGGGAACTGCAGCTTCCTCTCTTCCGTTTGAGGCTTTTCGTTCCCCGCCTCTGTCAGTCCACCAGTTACGACAAACTCTCACTCATGGAAACTACAGTGCCCGACGAAGAATGGCTTCGGGACGAATCTCAGAAAAACCGATCTCGGTCTTCCGACTTCTCCCCTTCCCCGAGGTCCTGGAGTCGATTAGAGCGACACCTCGGCCTCACGATGTACCTGGGATAGAGCAAATGCTCTTAAAGGAGGTTTTTCGCTCACATCCATCTTGGATTGAATCATTGAGCCGTGGATCAATGAGGACGATCGGCAAATATTAAGCTCTGGCTCCTCGTCGAACAGGTCTTAGGCGCAAATTTATTCACTCAGGATTAGGATCCTATGGATTCCTGTGATCGCCTCGAGAATGGACGACGATCTGAGAGCGTCCGGTAGTATGATTGGATCAGGGAATCAAGAAACACCATTATGACTTGTCTATATCTCTATAGACTTTCGACTCGTCTTCGAGCGAATACTTGCCCTAAGCAGCCGTTATATGGGAGAGCCGCTGGTGATTTCGGCAACGGAATTCGAGATCGTAAGCCCGCTGCTGATGAATTAAATTTCTCAGACAGATCGTGTTATAGCAGTGGCTCTGAGGGCGTCTCATTCGGTTTGTGTGAACAAGCCGGGAGAGGGTCCGACGACGGCTCTCTTCTACACAGGCTTCGCAAGCGAGGGTTCGTCGCCGGAGTTAAACCCGAAACTCTTTGTCAGTGCTCGGAAATCTACCACAAGGTGTCTGTTCCATCCTATACTTTAATCCAGCAGCGATGCATTGCGCGCGAGTTCGCTATGTGGCTCAAACATCTGGTGAGTTCTTGGCGTGGAAGGAGCTCATGAAGCAGTCTCTGACTCTGATCTTCGACCGGGAGAGTCTCCGTTCGTTTCGCATGCCTTCAAGAGATTCTACGCGCCGATCCTCCGGAAGTACGCGGTCAGGCAGCCGGATAGGCGTAGACCGGATCCTGATCGTCGTGCCTGAATCAATTGAAGCGACAAGGACAGCGAAAAGATGGCTCATCAGAGTTTTGTTCAAGCTTTCTTGAAGAGAAAAACGAAATTCGCTTCGTTTTGCAGCTGGCCGGACTTGAGCATTTTCCGCATTCACGATTGAGCGCAGCTCTCCTAATCAGGTAAGCTGTGAGTCGGATCTCAACCAGAAGAAAATAATTTGAATGTCGTGACTCAGCGCGTACCCCGCCCGCTATCCACCCGCAATTCAATCGTCGGATCGGAGCAACAAACTCGACGGAATTTCACTGGCGAAGCCAGAGGGCTTGTTCGAGAGCATTCATTCTATTCCAATTCGAGCGCGATGTCTGTAGTCCAGGGAATCTTCCGGCTCGGCGCCACATTTTTCGAAACGAGACCCTCTCCACCACACACACATGGAGCTCTCCAAATTGGTTCCTCGAACGTCTGTTGGATGGCAGCAGAGAGAAACTTCGGCGGAGCGGCGGCCGGTTTGTTTCGTTTTGTTGTGTTGTTGTTGCCTTGGCGGGCGGGCAGACAGGCCGGCAGAAGACGAGCAGCTGGAAGTCGCAACGAGCGATACTTTCGGTAGCGACAGCTCCGAATTGCACAGGAAGCGCTCCGGCTGCTTCTTTCCGAGAAGCAGGCATCTGGGAGCGCGACAGCGACTGCACGGCTAGGAAAGTTTTCAACGAGTGCATCTGCAGACGAGCTTCATCGCCGACACATCTGAAGCTGAAATCGGTGCATGTGTCCCGATGGGGGCCGGCTTGCCTCGTCAGTGAGAATTCCCCAGAGAATATTTCAGTTCTGAAACAGTGAATCCATGTTCTAGTGACACCATGGTCTCCGCCCTGATCTCTCGATTGGTGGTATTGTTTCTTGGGACGCTCTACCCGGCTTACGGTTCGTACAAAGCCATACGAAGTAAAAATGCTCGCGAATACGTGCACTGGATCATGTACTGGATCTGCTTCGCCTTCTTCACATTCTTCGAGACGTTCTCGGACATCTTTTTGGCGTTCTGGATCCCATTCTATTACGAAATGAAGATTCTATTCCTGGCGTGGCTTCTCTGCCCGGCAACCAGAGGTTCGGCGATTCTCTACAAAAACTTCGTGCACCCACGACTGGTGAAGCACGAACAAGAAATTGACGAAATGATAGAAACCGCACGTCAGAATGGGGTCAGTGCCATGTACCAACTGGGTACACGAGGTGCCCAGTATGCGTCCCAGCTCCTGGCGACCACTGCTCTCAAGGGACAACAGGTCAGTCACTGAGATATATGCATTTGAAGATTCCGTCGTGATCAGTTGGAACACATGCCGAATCACCCACACGCATCAAGACAGCAATTCCTTGTTGCCATTCTGGCTGCTCCTCTCTGGTCTGATTCTCTAGATTTTCCGCGATATTGTGCCAGAGTACGGTTTTCGAAGCCGCTGAACACTAGCACTATATAGGTCGTCCATAGACCATCCCACATATCGATCCGCCCTCCGTTCCATGAGGGGACAGTTTCCGAATCATCGCGACAGTATTGCTATCCGAAATCTTTCCATAAAATGCCGAGCGCATTTCTCTCATAGGCACTCCGATATCCTTTATTCATTCGGACCTTTCTCCTCGCCGCCAGGTATTACTGAAGCAAATTCAGCGATCCTACAGCCAGGCCGATGTTACCGACGGCGGGGAAATTCTCAGTCCTGATGAGATGACTATCATGTACAGAAGAGCAGGATCTCGGAACCTCGATGCCAGGAAAATGATCCGCAGCGAACCTGCATTCTCGGATGAAGAAGAGGAAGACTTCCAGATAGTTGAGGAGGACGACGCCGCCGCCGCGGGAGCTGCGATGGAGATCGAAGGAGAACCGCCGAGACTCCCTGGCAAGAAGAAAGGTGACTTCTTTTGCGTTTATCAGCTCCGGAAATTCCCCATCCATGACTTGAATCGAGAATAGATCAGAAGATCATGATAATGAGACCTAGTCTGGCATTCTCCCGCTCAGTATCCCCTCGACGGGACGCCCAGCAGCTTCCGTACTCTAACCTGGGTGAAAATCTCTACCTAGGTACGTGTTCTCCCGAGGAAAGGAGACGCCGACTCTATCGTGAACAAGAGAGTGAATGGAGTGATTCGAGTGAGAGTGACGTAGCAATTGCTCGATCGCATGGTGAGAAAAACTTAGATTCCATTATCATTATTCATCTATATCTCCTCAACATCCTGTTGTCTATCATAGTATACACCTGGAATCATCCGAGTGATGTGCCTGACCTAAAGTATTCAACCACAATTCCATGAGTCTGCGTGGCGCCCTTTCTAAGAAAGCGAACAGCGAGGAAAACGCTGAAATCGCCCTTCTGTGATTCAATGCTACATATTACTGAGAACGACGGTAGTTCGAGCCAGACCGGCTGAATCCGCGTACAGTGCGACATTGAGCCGTTAAGCACTACTTCGAACGAGCGGTAGCTTCCGGACGCTTCATTTCGGATTCTGTGGGACAATGCCGCGCCTACGCGACACGGTGACCCTGATTTCTGGCAGGAGCCGGGTGTTTCGCGAACATGGCCACGTCTGCACTCAGTCGGACGAATCCACTTCGTCCGATTCGTCATCGGCTGGGTGTTTGTTATCTTCGCCCAGGCTGCCCGACAAGTTCCCTTAGATATACCCTTGCCACAAACAGCTTAGTTTGGGTCGCAGTCAAGAAGACGAACTCACCTGATCGAGCGCGACGACGGACACCTACGTGGTCGATTCCTTCTCCTACCGTGGCATGATTGGAAGGATTCGCATGCGTAATCGAAGCCGAATGCTTGGAAACCGACGAGAAGAATATTGCGTTCGGACAGAAGTCGAAACCTCCTTTCCTTCGCGAATTCGCCCAGAGACGACATCTGCACGTGGGTTTTGTCGTCCGGAGACCTTGGCGGAGAGACGCCTCCACTTGAAGACTTCGGAGTAGTGCATCGTCTCTTGCTAGTTCTGTCGGTAATAATCACCGGAAATAACAATCAGCGAGTACTGTGTGTGGAAATCGGGTTGGAGGTTGCGTGACGCTACGAAAGTCACCCGTATCCGTCTCCCATTCTAATGAGAACCTTCCGCAGACCTCGTTGCCTCCTTCTAGTGGGTCTCCCATGGTGTCTCGGCGAACATCGGGATGACCCCATCCGATGCTGTAATGCTTTCCGCGGAGCCCTTTTCTCGGGATTGCAGCGCTTTCGTCGTAACAACAAATCGTTGAGTTGACGTGGCTACTTTGTGAGATGCTGACTTCCGGCTGCGGACTGCTAATTGGATAACCGAGAAATGGCTTCGAAACCGCTTGTGTGAACCGAGAGTCATTTTGAGAACGATGAACGACGAAAGTATCACTACTCCTGGCAGCACCCCCGCCTCCTCCAGCGGCTTCCTCCTATTCGTTCGCTCGATCTAATCTGCTGAATCGGTCCTATTCGACTGGATCAACGTCTACACCACCGGCGCCGTCGGCTACGGTCAGACGGCTCTCGAACTATGAGCCAATGAGTAGCGGCAGGTTCACTCCTCCTCCTTTGAGGACAACAACGACCACCACCACGAGATTCCGACTCAGCCGCTACGATACGAGATGACAAGTTAAGCTCGATGATGGAGTGAAAAGTTGACCTGTAATGGATGCGGTTTCCCCCCTGAATTACTCGATGCTCCAGTTGATTTTCGGATTCTGCATGATTCCCAATTGTACACTGTGACGCCCACGCTCTGTACCATTTTTTCGGAACCAGAAGCCTCGACGTGTTCCTCAGAGCCGCCGACCTTGAACAACGACGTCATGATTGGGCCGAGAGCTTCTCACATTCCCCGAGATAACTCGATTGCATCAGTCTGGGCTCGGCGTCTAACAAGTATTTTCTCGATTCAGGCACCCGGAGCCGGAAACAGGATGACAGTGACTCGGACTATAAGCCCGTGACGAGATCCAAAGTTCAGAGGAAGGCAGCTGTTAGAAAATCCCCCAAACTAACCTCTAGTTCCAACGTCAACAACAACAGCAACAACAACAACAATAACTACTCGGGTCGCAGAGCTCGTTGATGAAACATGATCTGCCAAGATCTACCTCCTTATTGTGGTACCGATTATCCGAGAGCGGGATGACGCACGGGGCCTGGCGCCTGTTAGCCACCCTCCTGATCTGTCAACTGCGAGACTCTCTCCCGGAGCCTTATAGCCTCTACATGACTTTTGCCTTTTCTTTGTGGAACACTCTGCTGGAAACTTCTGAGACGTTGCTCTCTGGGCGCCATTGTTCCTCACTCATGACTTTTCTCCCCTTGTGACTGATCGTGAATGAGACTTCGAGGTACGAGAGGAATGAGTAACTTGTATATATTTTATAGAGGATATATACCTGGCAGGGGGGATCTTTGTCCGAAACGATGTAAACATGTGGAATGATTGATACCCAGTTTTAGTCAATAAAAGAAAATCATCCCAGAGTAACCCAGCGCAATACGAACGGCGGAGAAGCACCGAGAATCGGAAGCTCCCGAGTGTATCGCTGAATCGTAAGAAAACTCGAGAGCATGTCGGACTCGAAAGATTTTGAAGAATGTAAATTCAACACTCTCTCTGTGTTGGGCTCCCCCGGAAGTATTCCGCATGATAGCCCGCTCACCCTGGAATCATTCCGCCGGATACCTCGGACATTGGCTGAATCGGCGGACACGAAGAACGAAATCTCTCCCGAAGACCTCTTTTAATACTATCCCGCACGATCGAGTGCTGCCCATGTCATCAGAAAATCGCAGGTTCTAGTTCAATTTTTTTTATTTCAAGTTTCTCTCTCAAATCCGTTCTTTTCGCTCCGAACGAAGTTCCGATATTTTTTCGTCCGCATAGGGGGTTTGTCCAGTCCTTCACGGCCTCAGGAATAATAATCACTGACACTCAGCTCATCGGCTCCAACACGCACACTCACACACTTGACACTTTCCTCGTGCTCGATCCACTGCACTTGCCCCGATTGCATTTCTGGAGTCGAACTTCACTAGAAGTAACCGAAAAGATGGTGGTAGCGGAAGTGGTGCGGCTAAAAAACACAAACTGGATGCACTGAAAACACTCACTGTCTCACGGAACACAGCGCACTGCTCAGATTCAACTACACTTGCTCGAAATTTTTCGGTCAGATAAGAGACTTGAAGATCGGAGCGAGCTCGCTCATCTCACTCCCGATCGCAGCCCCCGTATACTACAACGATAAACCACTCGGACGACTGCGCGCACCGACGCACTGAAGTGAGCACCACAAGTTGAAACCATGACGGAAGCACCACGAGTTGAAACCACGATGGATGCACAACAGCATGGGTTATCAATGGAAGTGGATTGAGCCCACTATTTATACACAAGCACGCACAGAAGCTGCAATTGCGACCCCTCCGATCCCTGTATCTCGATCCCCAAGGGGGAACGTTTTGCGCAGGTCTAGCGCGAGGGTCGATGTAAACTAGAATCACGTCGTCATCGTCATGAACGACAGGCTGCGCTTCCTCCTGTGAAACCACCGGGCGGATTCCTCCCCCGCCGCAACCGAGACCACTCCGAGTGACACTCGGGAACTCACTTTCCCCACTGATCGAATCACTCATTTCCGCGCCGCGTCCAGCTCCCAATTCGTTCACAAGCTGGCCGCTATGCTCACTCGGAGAACGCACATTGAAGCACTACAGAAACTTTGGGATCGTGCCTATCGTATCGACGTCGACTGAGTCTGGAAAGTCGATATCGGAGTTGCTCCTCCAGCACTTCACGTCGCCCAGCCCTACGTCAGCTGCTCCGAATAGCCCTGCAAGTCTGCCAGCATAGTATCGAGCAATACACATCCATTCAATTTTGGTCTACTCTCGATTACGGCTGTGCACATTTTTCCGTAAATTTCCTTTGTCTATTCTCGCTCGCTTCGAGCCTCTTCTCCCCACTGATCACTTTTACGATCCACCAAAGACTCCAACGGGAGCTCACAAAACACGCACAGAACGTAATGGTCGCCCTTCGGAAGGCCGCACTGTCGTCGCTGATTAATTTCTGCCGTTCTCGCTGAGCACACACTTCTCTACGCGAATCGGATGACCGAAACAGACACTCCTCCTCCCCTGTCTTGCGTGAGCACCACACGAGCACATCACTAGTCGCGAAGCAGCGAATAATTTCAAGAGGAATCAAAGGCTCTCTTCCACCATTATTCATAGCTGCTTGTTTTGCACTTAATCAGATGTCACGAACACGAAATCACCAAAGAGCTCCTTCGCTAAACCGGCGGTAGTACGCTCGGGCTGACTTGGGTTTTGCGGTCACGGAAGAGCCGAATCGAAACTCGGAAACAGCTATCGATGGCGCACTCGAGCGAAATTCGTCGACGGAGATGTTGCTGCTCGATACTGGTCGTCCGTCAACCGGTCTCACCGTCATCGCTCAGATGAGAGAATCAAGAGGTTCGACTGATTGTCTACTCGTTCGCTGGTTCGAGGACTCAGCCCGGGATGGATGTGTTCATTTCGACGGCTGACTTGCGGGCAAGCTGGCTGGATGGGTGGACTACAGATGGATAGACTGGTGAAGAGATGCACAATCACTACAACACAAGACGCACTTTTGTTCACAATTCCTCCTTTTATGTAGCGTATATCTTTTTCTGTCTGCATGAAGAGCTGTTTGATTACAAAAGAAAAACATTTGCAAATCGATAAATATTCTTCATAAATATGCTGCAGAGGGTATTCACCTGGATATAATGGATGTTGATCGCTTGGTTTAAGCCAATATAAAGTGAATCCATCTATCTAACTGTATGAAGAACGAAACTGGTTGCTGGGAGAAAAAACCCTCGCTCATCGAGTGAGATAAAACTGTTTGGACACGATGCGAGCAGGACTGCAAACGATCTATAGATCGATAGAGAGAATCATTTAATGGACGAGATGGGAAGAGAGCGAGAAGAACAAAATCTTGGAACTGAATGAGGGTACATTACTGTAAAATAATCGAAACTTCACCAGTGGAGTTCTTCATCCAGAGAACATGGGGCTTATCTGGAGGTTGTTGTCATCGTTGACGATGATGATGATGATGATGATGATGAGGGTGTCGTTCGTCGAGCTGACGTCGTCGTCGAATTTGATTACGGGATTCATAGGTTGATTGTTTACTTTTTTTTCTTTAACGTGTGACACTGTAGCGAAACTTCTCGCGTGTTTTCCGTTCGAGCTTATTATGCCGATGCCGATCGAGCCGTAGACGGATGGCTGCGGAACGAGACGGACTCACTGTCCGTTGACGACAACAACGACGAGGTAGTCGTCCTTGCCCTGGTTGGTTGCATCCGTTAGATTTGGTGCAATTTTCTTGAGGAGATCGAACGCGAAGTCACATGGCGGGAACGCGTACAGGACCGCCGACGTAGCGAGCTCTTTGACTTTCTTCACTGCCAAAGTCACAACACCGGCCGCCTCTTTCTGCTTAAGGTAACCGACAAGATTCTTGAGAGGTCTTGCCTGAGCGTCTCCCGCGTCCGCTGGTGTTGATCCGTTACCGGCCATTGTCAGAAGTATACAGCTGCCATCGGCACCCGCGTTTGTTACGCGCTTCTGAACGTCCTCGAGCTTCGATTGATCGAGTCGGAGACGCTGAGTGATCCGGAGGCATTGAGTTTTGATGAGTTGGTCGACGAGCGCCGAATCTCCCGAGCACAAATGCATTTTAGTGCTGAAGGACGAACTTTTCAGGATGAGGGAGCCGTTCCATGCGACCGGACAACACTTGGCCAGGTCGAGGATCGACGACACCGAGTCGGCGATCGAAATGCGTTCTTTGTCGATATTCAAATCCTTAGGTGAGAATGAAGGGTGACGCCTGCCGTCGGAGGGGGACGTGGATCCTCGACGGTATTTGCTGTACTTGGCATCGCCGTTGTCTGGCGTATGCGGTCGTTTGCGACCATTCGAGTACTCACCCTCTTCTCGGCTATAGAACGACGAATCTTCAGGAGGTGCTCGTCTGGATGCGCGATAACTACCGCCGCCACCGCCATCTTCACCGGGGCTGGCTCCGTTCGGGTAGCCACCTCCCCCGCTGCCGCTTCCGAAGGCGTAAGTGTCGGGATCGGCGAAGTCCAGCCTGAGTCTTTTGTCAGGACCGCCCAGTGCGAAACCTCGCATTTCCTGACACGCCGCCTGTGCCGCGTCGATACTGTCGTACTGTATGTACGCATGCGATTCACCTTTGACGAAGTCGACTTTCCTGATGGCGCCAAAGCGATCGAACTCTCGCTCGAGATGCCCGAGGGAAGTCCAGTTACCGAGACCACCGACCCAGATCCGGGTCGTAGGCGTCGCTTTGCCGTAGCCGATTTTGCATTGAAACTTACCGATATACTGTCCGGACAGCTCAACTTTAGCACGATGGGCCATGTCCAGGTTGAGGAATTTGATGAACGCATACGCGTTGCCCTGACCGGGAGGCGGACGCTTGACGTCGATGTCTTCGACGACGCCGTACCGCTCGAACAATCTACGTAGTTCTGCCTCACTGATAGTCACTTCGAGGTTGCCCACAAACAGAGTCCGAGTAGCCTTGTCGTCTTCCTCGGGTGGAATATGGTGCAAATAATTCGGGAACTTCTCTTTCTTCTCGTTTCGGCGGAAAGGCGGCGGACCGTGGTGATCGGAAGTACTCCGATGGTAAACATGCATCCGGTCGACACTCGGAGCACGGCGACGACTCACCGGAGACATGCCTCGATAGTCCATCGGAGGACTGGGAGTGCGTTTCCGTCTCGGAGGAGGTTCTTCGACGATCGGTTCGATGTGAATCGGCTTATCGAATAGAATCATTCGTGACTTAGCGTGGCGAGCTTCTTTGGCTTCTTCATAGCTTCGGAAGTAGAGGTAAGCTACACGTTCGCCGCTGTCATGGTTGAGTTTCACGGTGAGGTCGCCGAAACGGCCGAATTCGTCTTCGAGTGCCTGGCGCAAGAGGTTATCGTTCACTTTGTAGTTGAGATTGCTCACCAGCAAAATTCTGTAACTGCCGTAGCCGTGTTTGCTCCTTGCTTGATGGCCGAAGTCCTGGTACGGATCGCCGCGGTGACGAGATCGGTGGTGGTCTGAGGGTGGAGACCGCGGCATATTTTGTCGCTTTTCACTGCGTACACAGCGGACGCTAAGATTTAGTTACGATTCAGTATCAAACTAGAGCCACTGACACGGCAAACAACACGAATTCTAGTTGTTCTTTCGAAAGAAACATGGCGGCGATCCAGACGAATGCGAGGGAGAGAGAAAGCGACGGGCGGCATCAGAGGCGACAAGAGACCGCGAAAATTCAAAAGTTTCAGTGCGCTTCGATATCGAAATTGGACGACGGAGCTCATCGAATCAAGGAGTATTCTGACTGGCGAACCGAAAGACGCGATCTCCGAATTCCTTTGCGCTTTTCCCGAGTCAGCGAGTCCTCGCTACGATCCGAGGCGACTCGGGTGGCTCCTGAGCGAATGAGATCGGGCGATGTCTTTCGTCCGCGAACCGGAGCATAGAGAATACTAGCGGAGAGGTCGCGGAGTGCATCGTCGTTCGCTCGAAAGCGGTCGCTCGGCGCTCTCCAATACCTTGGAGTTCTTTACGTATCACGGATTCGGGAGTGGGGATAATCGTCGGAGCTAACTCAATCTGCCTTCTGAGTACTCATTTCTGAGCTTCGGGACGAACTTCCGAGGGCGGTGAGGCCGCGAACAGCCCAGGAAGTCTCGAATTCGGTTTGCTCATTCACGCGTCAACCGGGAAAAGCTTCGAATATGCGTCTGCTCCCACCCGGCCTTCGAGTTCAGATCGATGGAATACCGAAGCACCTTGACGGTTTAAAAAGACCGCTTCGCTCTTCTAGTTGACGCCGCCTACCCTTTCCTCCTTGCCCTCGTCTTCTGCGTCGCCATCTTTATATCAGAAAATGACCGAGAAATCGAGGAACCGGCCCGATAACAAGCCGCTGCGTTGCTGTCGCTGCCTTCTATTGTCCCGCATACCAGATTTCGGGGGCAGTCGTTCGCGGACACCGAAGTTTTTCGGCATTGGGATAGGTGACCAGAACTGGGCATCGAAGTGTTCTTTCGGTCATCCTCTGGGGCGTCTCCAGTTTCGAGGATCTACTTGATCCACGCTGGCCGTTTCACTTCGTCGCTTGATAGAGAGCAGCGCTAATCATCAGAGTCCATAGAAAGGCCGGAATCCGGTCCAGCTTGGCTTTCTGATGATCGGAATCGAGTTCATGATTGCCGAAGTAAGGCGAATTGATATGAGAAGGCTGAAGAAAGGAATTCGCGCCGAATGATCGCCGTAGCTCTCACTCAGTCCGCCGCGTACCTGCCCTCTCTCCGGCTTGTTGCTCGCTGGTCCCGAACGCGCCAAATCACCGTCGCGTCGCCCGTTTACCCACCACTGTTGGATGGACATGAGTCGGTCCATACGAATCGCGTCCTCGGCCCTGGAGAATTGAATCCTGCTGACAATCCACCGCGGCACGAGTACAGCTTTTTTTCTCCGGGGGATTTCGCCTGCTCAGAAACGCTCCGGACACCTCCGAGAGGAATGAGTCGATGTTGCACGACGATTCTATCCAAACTAGCGAGAATTTTCCCGAGACAAAATAAGCGACCCCTGCTGGCGCTGATTCTCGCAGCGCCTATTGAAAAAACTCAAGGAGGTCTACGAGGAGACTATTCGTCACTCTGCGCCTCACGGGCGATTCATGGCATCTTTTGGGGGTATCCGGGACATGAAAGCTGAGATCCAACTCAATCGTTTCCTTGTCCCGCCTGCGGGTCTCGAGCTAGATGTCGATTGAGACTGGGAATTTCCGTGCACCCGAAACTATCTAAACGCACAGATAATTTTTCGCGGGTGGTCGCAGAAACGTACACGTATCAAATTGGAAGTGGATCAATGATTCCATCGCCTTGAAAGAATCCACTGAAGTCCCCGCTAATCTCAGCTCATGTACGTGTCACTCAGAAAGTTTCGCGCTCACGCAGTATCCGAGTGATCAAACTCATGGGCAGATCAAGAGCATAATTATGATTCAGTGAGAGTACTCCTACCTCCTGCTCCCACCGCAGCTTGCACCGCTGTGTTTTCAAGGCTTCGTATCATGACACAACGATGACTACGTAACCCGTCTGCTTTCGAGCAGTGCTACCCGGGTAGTCGACCGGAGCGGGGGGAGGACAGCTTTTGAGATCAATCCATTCCAGAACTGTCATTGATTTCCAAATGGCCAAAGAAGCGGACTTCAGAAATTCCTCTCAGGGGTCCGAGCCCGGCTTCTTGAACTTTTCAACCGCCTTGAGGCTCAAGCAGGGTTGCCGTATCATATCCGCCGGATCCTCCCCACGAAATCGGCAGGAGGCTCTTGGTGTCGTATCTCCTACGATCCGAGACCTAGGGGGTCGTGGCATTCGGTCATGGAGGATGCAAATCGGCAAAGACGACGCTGTGGCGCTCGAGACGAAGACAGAGGGAAACTTTGATCAACTAATCGTGGTGATCGGAAGTTTCCCTCATATCGGTCGTTGGTGAGGACCACCGGAATCACGCATTCTACCCGGTTATAGCGATCTCACTGCAAAGGCACCGAAGCTACCCATATCCGTTATTCCCGACGACAGCCTTCACTCGTGTTTCCCTCGATTCCATCACTCAGCATCCTTAGCAATCGTCGCTCCGATTGACAAAGGACTGGATCCTCGCGCTCCGGTCTGGGTGCTTCGAAAAGCCCTTCTCTTCCCGGCCCGGCGTACATCGCGATCGCGGACAGGATCAAGAGAATGTTCTTCGACGGGTGAATATTCTCTGCGGATTTGAAGCCGGATGATCTTACCCGTGAATTTCGTCACGGAACCCGAAAAAACTCGTGAATCTTCTTGGTCCTCGTGATGAGGTACCGGAATCGGCGAAAGACGTCAGGATTAGTACCCCTCACCCTCACAAACCCGATAAAGGTCTTGCCGCTTCCGATGGAGTGCAGTCTCAGAGGAGGAACATGCCTGCGAAGGTTGCGCGGAACCGCACATCCGAGCTCTGTGACCTCGAGCGTGGCCTGGGTATTTTGCGTCACCTACAATGAAGAGACTTTGGTTCCTCGTTCACCCTCGAGACAATCGACTCGAGAATCTCAGGTTTAGATTCTCGACGGTGGCGAGGACCTCGCTCCTTCCGGAAATTCGCGAGAATGACTCGCTGACTATTCCGGTTCCGTAGCAAGTCGCACGCACGTCAAATTGGCGCAGCCGCGATTCTCATCGCGGTCGAGCAGAACACAAAGCAAATACGAGGCATCTGACTCCGGCGGTGGAGACTGGAGACGGAGTTGACGCGAGGAGTAGCCTCGCAACCTTCGCTAACCAATTCAATGAAGCCTGGATAAATCTGGCTCGACTCGATTATATTCTTCGTACGTTCACTTGATTCCTTCCTCAATCCTCCATCGAAAGAGGTTATCTTTCGAGAAAATCACTTTGACGGATCGGGCAACAGCATTCTCTCTAATTCCAAGCGCGTTCCAGATTCCAAATCTGACCCCCCGGGAATCTGTCCTGAGTGAGCAAGCGCGACAATTCGTCAGTCGTTTCCGAAACACCGATGATGGAAGCTCGGGATGCGATCTGAGCGATTGCGCTAGCTCACTGGGGGACTATAGGCCAGGGCATCAGAGCTAGAGTTCGGGGTGCTCCACCATTAGAGACAATTCGGTACTTTGGGGTTCTCGGCTCGCTCCAACATTCAGCGTTCCATCGCCCCTCACTTGGCTTGAATCAACACGTGCTTATAGATGAAGCTCCGATGACGGTCCGTAATTTCATTCGCGACATTCCGAGCTCACTGAGCGGCGAGGACACAGCAACAGAGCAGTTTGGCAGCTAGGCACGAGGATGAATCTCGAGCGGGTTATGAAGGCGGGAAATGGATTCTGGGAGAAGACGAATGTCAAGGCAACGTCTGACTGTCAAATCCTGGAGTCATCTGCGTCTGTCTACAGGACCTGGGCTCGGCAACGCGGCTCTCGAAGCTCGGGCATTGGAAGAGCCATCTTTGTATCAACAATGAAGAGCGGATTCCCATCGCGCCGGGCTTATGGGGGTCTCTTATCGCAACCGGATATAAACGAGGTCCGAGAGACTTCAGTCTCAAGCGGCAAAGTGTCCCCGACTCTGTTGCGTTCTGGGAGTGATACTGACGTTGTGTTCGTTCGATTGATTAAAGCATAGTGCGCAGGGCTGTGGACATGCTCCGCCTCGAGAATAATCATTCCACAGGGAGATAATTCAGCTCGACACAAAATTCAGTCCAGCATAATCATGAAAGGCTTTCCACAAGAATGTCCGAGAGCAAGAGAGTGAATAGAGCGTCTATGGTTCCAGAGAGCCGGTTGAGTACCCTTATTCTATCCTTCTACAGCCTCCCTCCGGGGCTCACTTACGCACCCGCTCAGCAGCTTCCTTTCGCTAAATGGTGGGCACGAGGTTATCCGTTAGGCTACTCTGTGCGGACGACAGCACACGGTGCATGACTTTCAGCTGTGCCTTCTCTTTCGTACGCCGCGCATTGACGCTGCAGAGGGGAAATCGCATGACAGTCGAATATCGAGAGGTCGAGCGACGGGATTTTCGCAGAACGGATCCGACGGAACCGAACTTTGCTTGCACAAATGAGCTTGGATCGCGGGAGCTCGGATGGGCAAGGAAGGCATGACACCCTCATCCGGACCGATAGCGACCACAATAAATAACCCCATTATCACTTCCGGAGAACGATGCCTCGCATGGAACAGCAGGGTGACCGAACACGGATTCAACTGGCAAAGACGCTGGAGCTGCTGCTGCTTTTCGGATGCATCAGCCCATCAGACAGAGTCCCCGAATGATATTAATCGTCACCGAGAGCGAACTCTCACCCAGGTAACGACACGGTGGATTAGATGCGTGGACCTAAGCGGGTATTTTGTGTATTCGAACTCTCAGCACGAAAAATCTCGATGGTGAGTTCTTGCTTCGCGAGCGATTCGCGAGAGAATCGTGGACTGCGGACAGCTCCCGAAACTGGAAATTCTCCGTCGGAGACACCAAGAGTTCCAAGCTCAATATGTTCCATTTTTCGTCGAGTTCCATAGTAGCCAATCGGCTAAGCGAATCTCCAGGACCCGGCATGTATGCAAGGATGCATGCATTGCGCCTCTTCCTGAGTTTTTATCGAGTTCCGCTTGC